CTTTAAAGAGTCCTCTCCTGCTGATGTTCAGGTGTATATCAGTATGTAGTGTCTCTACTTTAAAGAGTCCTCTCCTGCTGATGTTCAGGTGTATATCAGTATGTAGTGTCTCTACTTTAAAGAGTCCTCTCCTGCTGATGTTCAGGTGTATATCAGTATGTAGTGTCTCTACTTTAAAGAGTCCTCTCCTGCTGATGTTCAGGTGTATATCAGTATGTAGTGTCTCTACTGGGACATGTCTCCATGCTTTAATGTTCAAAAAGCTCTTTATTTTTCTCATACTGCCTGTGCTGCAGCACCTCTTCTCACCCTCTGTCTGAAACCAGAGCCCAGTCTGCTCTGATTGGTTAGCTGGCCGGCCCTTAGCCTATCACGTACAATGTGTTGGAGCGCTAGCCAATAGAAGCGCAAGTGTTGACTAGTGGTGTCACTGAGGTCAGGAAGTAAACAAAGGAGTCCGATGGAGCTAGGCGCAAACTTTATTTGGATTTCAGCCTTTGCAGACCATTTACTGTACATACACTAAAACCTATATAATACACTACATGAAAGGGAACACTTCAAAATCATAATAGCACCTCTTACTTTTAATAAAACATTTAATGATGAATATGTATTCCTATGCATAACATTGAATTGCATATTCATGAGGATCCATTGCATTTCATCATAAAGACAGTTATGTACTGAGCTTTTTTCTTTTAACTAGGCAGCAGCATATCTGTGTACTTTTTCAGGCATGAAGTAGAGATGTATTTGTGGCTCTTCAATGTTACATCACAAGCTGAACAGAAGTGATGTGCTCGTAGTAAGACAGTCAACCCAATCAATGTTCACGCAGAGTTACTAAGGATTAACATAAATGACACCACAAGAAAACATTATCACAATTGTCCACATTTGCATAATGTATATATAGTGTATTGATGAATTTAATATTTATGCAAATGTATGGAATACCTCCATTGCAAGAACATATTGTTATCATAATTAGCACAACCTCATTTCAAATGAAAATCATATTATGACCTGGATTTGATATCCAAGAAAAAACAATAATTGCTTATATTATTCATAAAAATAAATGTATATACGACATTCAGATGTCCTGTCCATTTTTTGAGTCACAAAACAAGGCCATTTAAATACAAATTGGGCAAATAGACTGTCAAAAAATTGTTTTATGAAATATAGGTAATGATTGGGTCTTTATTTCAGCATCAACAGCACAAGCGTGTAATCCCAGACACGTTTTGTACAAATAAATCACCTGGGGACAACATTCACAGGAAAACTATTACAAAAGTAAATACAAACCTGTCTCTGATCCATTGTGACAGCAGTCAGCCGTGCACGCTGACCTTTGACCTGTGGGGTTGCAGGACATTTGAAGCAGACTCTTAAATCTGTCACGGAGACACTCTGAGTTTACAAGCATTCAGCGGCTTTTTGGGGATCGGATAAAGAGAGGCAGCAGCCAACCTGTCAGTCTGATGAATACACTCAGGAGGAGGACTTGTTTTTCACCCTGAGGCCATCAGAGCAAAACAGCTAGAGGCTGTCTTTTTGAAGCAATGTGACATTTAGAGTGACTTTGTCAGTATGATGCTTATAAAATCCTCAAGGGGTGTAAAGTAACTAAATAGATTTACTCAAGTACTTAAGTACAATTTTGGGATACTTGTACTTTACTTGAGTATTTCCATGTTATGCCACTTTGTACTACTACTCCACAACAATTCAGAGGTAAAAGGTGTACTTCTCCACTCCATGTATTTAATACCTTTAGTTCCTTCACAGATGTGGATGAATGATGTGAAATATAATCAAGTGTTAAATCAGACTTTAGTTCCACCTGGAGTAAATCCACAAGCTACCCTGCAGTATACAAAGTCATTCAAACTAGCTGCACCTTTACCAGCTTTGAGAACACTTTCATGATCAATCATTATAAAACATATCATCATCGCTGTTCATGTTCCAGCAGTAACAACGTCTAACCAGAATAAAAGTCTTTTTGAATCTNAAAGTCATTCAAACTACTTGTACTGTAACAGAGTATTGCTACACTCTGGTACTTCTACTTTTACTCAAGTATCAAACTTGTACTTAAGTAGAATACTTGAGTAAATGTAATTTGTGACTTTACACCTCTGCTGAAAACCATATACCAAATTGAGCTTTAAAATGCATATATAAACAAAAACAAAAAGGAACACATTTTAATACAAAATCAAATTAAGAGCATGGCGTTTCAAATAATCTTTTCAGAAGAATATGTACGTTTTTCTCTTTCAATGTCTTTTGAATTAAAAAGAGGGATAGAAGATGTTGTGCAAACACCGCCTGACTCAAACTGCAGCATCTATTCTGAGTTTCAATGTTCACAGCTCGACCTCGGAAACATCCGATCCCGTAACAATGTGAGAAGAAGCACAAGGTTACGGTCTGCTCTGGAGTTTGCTCTGGTGAGACACCGTCTTCTCTCTAAAAACCTCATCTGTACATTGCGTGTTTGATAAGCACAAACAAAAGAGAGGAAGCTGGAGAGAGGCTATGGACTTAATTAAATTACATCCTTCCTGAAAGCTTGTCCGTATTCATCGCGAGTGGCCTTCACAAAACAGAAATACAGAACGAATTTCACATCGAATTTTCTCAAGCACGAGGAAATGGAATTCCTTAATACCACTTTAGGGATAAACACTTAACAGTAATGCTGCAGTTCAGGGCCAGCATTACAGAGTGGGGTTTTTTCTGAACACAAAAAACTCCTTTACTCGACCTGCATCCAGAGGTTGTTTGATGACAGGATGTTTCTACTTTCTACTGACCTCCATGCTACCTGCCTGGGAATAAGTGCCTGAAAATAACCCTAAACTCCCCTGAAATCATGTGAACGTAAGTCTTAATAACGCACTGACCTGGAAGTGACCTGCGAAACAGATGGCCAGGGTCAGCAGCAGCACACACACCAGGACCCCGAACGACGTGCCCAACATCTGTCGACTGGGGAGAGGAAAACCAGTGTGTACAAATAAATATCTCCTTTTGATTTGAGTGGAATGAGTGGAGCAGGAATGAGTCCTAAAACCCACACATGGGTTAGCATTCAAGCCTTTTCTTTGGGACACATGCTTATGTATAAAAGACATGAACAAGTGGATTTGTTATATAGGTGACCTTTAAACTGCTGACTTGGTTATTTATCAGATTTAAAAAGAGGGAAATGTAGTCGTACTCACTCCTTTGTGACAAACAACTGAACCAAGAAGATGCAGAGGAAGATGACGGTGGCACAGCCGACGTAATGTTTGAACATCGGCAGGTCCAGGGCTCGGTACTTTGAAGAGGAAACACAGAACTTCTAGTTCAACACCAGGATGCCTCAATGGAGATACTGATATAGAAACATCTCAATATGAAATCCTGCTTTTAAACCAACCTGTTTCTCCAGATCTTTCTTTGGAAACCACAGAGCTAAACTGCCACTTTCTTCAGTCTTAGACCACTGCCTGAGAGAGGACGGAAGGAAGGAAGGAAGGAAGGAAGGAAGGAAGGACGGAAGGAAGGAAGGAAGGAAGGACGGACGAGAACTTTAGGAGGCATAATTGAATAAATACAGCAAGTGTTGCAGCATTATCTTGATA